ACCACTACAATATTGTAAAGTAATTAGCCTCCAACTAAAAAAAAATAAATGGAAAAAAAAATGGGAACAATTAAAAAAAAAATCACTAACCAGTAACAGGGCTACTAAGGGTAAAGAAAGCTCTTAAGAATACAGAAATAGCAGCTATAGGAGCAGTCACTGCCTCTAGGGCTGAGGCAGGGGACTTAAGGAGAAAATCTGGGAAGAAATTTCCATTGCAAGGCTGATTCAGGTTTTGTTGGAGAGGGCAAGGCTGTGATCCACTGAGATCCAGGGCTTGAGAGGAGGTGTCAGTTAGGAAGCCACCCACTGGGAAGTTGCCAGCTAGAGCACCAGCAAGACATGCTGGGAAGTTGGCAGGGGGAGCAGTGGGCTTGCTGGGAAAACCTTCCTGTGAGGTTAACACTGGGTGTCCTACATGTCACCAGCCCCTACACACTGCAAAAGAAAAAAACACCAGGACCAGGAAGAGAAGCGGCTTACTTCTGCAGCAACTCTCCAGCATCCATTGATGAGCTTAACAAAACTTGCCAACAAACAAGAGAAGTATCTGAAGGGCTCAGATCCTGTTATTACAAGGCAGAGCAATGAAGGGTGGATTTAGCAGCTGAGAAATAGGTAATTGACACACCCACAAATCCGTGGTAGTCCTACAAGGCTCAATATAACTCAGTTTACCAAAATAGGGGTCAGGGATAGAGCACTTTATTCAGGAAGAAATGTTCACTGAACCAGTAGTTGGACTGGGTGGATGAGTCCAGCATCTAAGAAAACTCTTTGGGCCCTCCTGAGTATCAAGGCACTGGTGATTTCAGAATTTCAAAATAGGAGGGTAGGAGAGAGAGCAAGAGTATTTCTCTTGCATTTCCTCAGCAAGCACTGTCATTTTTTTTTCTTACATTGTTTATTCAAAATGTTAAGAATTCGTGGGTGTCAGCTAAACCCACTGACTCAATAGAGAAATAATTCAGCTTCCAAATAGCTGGACAAAGGAAAGCCCACTTTATAGATTACTGGACTTAGTTATTTGCTGATCAGGGAAGTTTATTATTTTCTTGGTCATACCAAGTGCTTGTGGGATCTTAGTTCCTCAACCAGTGATTGACTCCAGGCCTTAGGCAGTGAGAGCAGAGTCCTAACCACTGGACTGCCAGGAAATTCTACCTTTCCTGATTCTAATAAAATGTCATGGCTTTTACTATATGAAATGCAAAAAAGGTCAATTGTTGAACAAGTTTAACTCATTTTAGATACCACCCTGCTTCCCAAGAATCTGCCTAGAGTGTGGGAGAGACCTGGGTTCAATCCCTGGATCCGGAAGATCCCCTGGAAAAGGGAATGGCAACCCATTTCGGTATTCTTGCCTGGAGAATCCCATGAAGAGGATCCTGATGGGCTACAGTCCATGGGGTTGCAGAGTTGGACACGACTGAGCAGCTAACACATACACACATACCCCCCAACCTGAGTAATTTTACCTGTGCAATACATTATGGATCATTATTATGAAATAGAAATTCAACAATCAATGCTCTGGAGAACAGAATAATGGATTTTAAGTCAGCTACGATAGTAACGTCTTTCAGTTGATTGTATTCAGGTTTCCTACAGTAACAAATGCTGACGGCCAATTATCCTAAAGTGAAAAATGCCACCTCAGAACTATTTGTAAAGGTCAAGATTTCATACGAAGAGATGGTGAAGGAATTTCAGACTATCACATGCTCCCTAGTGCTCTAGTGGTTCACCACTGCCTGGGTGGTTCAATTCCCAGTTAGGGAAGCCTTTCTTCTTGGGCTTCCCAAGGGGCACTAGTGGTAAAGAACCTGCCTGCCAATGAGGGAGATGTGGGTTCAGCCTCTGGATCAGGAAGATCCCCTGGAGGAGGAAATGGCAACCCACTATAGTATTCTTGCCTGGAGAATCCCACGGACAAAGGAGCCTGGTGGGCTATAAAGAGTCAGACATGACTGAGGTGACTTAGCATGCACATCAGAGAGTGCTCTTCCATAAAATCAGCCAAGATGCTGTCATTAGATTAGCCATCCAGGGCTGAATGCTACATTAACAAGATGAATCAGACCAGACCAGAACCATCAGTTGGTCAACAAACAAGTGAGAACTGACCAATCAGTTTGGTGTTTATAATTGAGGCTGCACACTGGGAATCAGTTGAAAAACATAAACTGTCAGTGTTTGGGCATTTCTAACTGTCCAAATAAAAAACCATATTCAAAAAGAACAACTTTCGGGGGGAAGGAAACAAAATGAATGCCATTAGTTTTTTCCAACTTCACCTTTTAAGTAAAAAATACTCCAGCAGCGATTGCCTTTGGGACACTCTCAGGTCCCAAATGTGTTGTTCATTACCAACCACATAATACTGTTTTTTTAAACACAGCTTAAAAAAAAAACTACACAAGACCTAGAACAACTTAAGTTCTCTTGAAATCACGAGTGAATTTTAGATCCCTTTTTACATCCCTTCTAAACGTAATTTGTAGGTTTCATTAGATTCCAAAAAAGGAGTCTATGACTCAGGTTAAGGACTACTGCCTTAGAGGATGTAAGAAACTAAACCCAACTAACAGATTATAAATTGGGAGGTATTAAAATGTAAATTTTGTATTAAAATTTCAAGACTGATAACATACTAGCTCATGTATATGATTTAATTGCAAACTGAACATTAGAAAACAGATGCAAGATAATACATGGAAAAGTGAAATCATTTTAGCAAACTGAGAAAACTGCATGGAGGCTGCTAATTATATTAAGCTCTATCAAAAGCTTTTTAATAAGTTTTCTCAAAAATTGCAAGAAACAATCCTGAGATGTCTTTCAGAGTTGCTTGTTTTCAGTCTTGTAGAAAGCTATTCTCCAAATTAAGTCATGCATATATCTGGCATTAATTAGTATTACTTACATGTTCTCCTATATATCAAAAAGCTCAAAAGCAAAATGACAGGAAACTAAATGCAGTGATACTTTCACTTCTATTTGAAATAAATTCTTTCCATGTTTTACCAAAATACACCACCAAATTAACTATATTCAAAGAAATAGCACCATCCATTTAGGTATGCTAAATATTTGTTAATATCTATTGCTTTTCATCATTCAGGAAGTTTTCTAATTTCTACCTATCTAGTGTTCATTCACTTGACACTCAGCTTAAAAGATCATTGACTATTCTACTCTTAAAAGAAAAACAGTATTTTCTTAGAATTCCTTCATTTAATGAGATTTTTCTGAAGTTAAGTACAAATGTTAAGCACACATATGAAGAACTCTGCTAAATGTACTCCCTTGTCCCATTTAATGATTTTTTTGCAATGTGGCTTCTGAGTGCCCATCAGTTGGCCAATATGAACAGTGAGATAAAACAAATGTTAATATGGTCAGTTAATACTGTTAGAAGACTCCCTTGTAGTCCTGTCAATGACTGAACTTTGAGCGTCTAGTATAAGAATTGGAAGAATTATTTTTTAAAAGCCCTTTCAAGTCCAAATTTTAAATGATTCTAATACATAATCTAATTGCAAAGTCCTGCAATAAGGACCTCTGATGTGAAACTAATTACTCAAACCAAAGAACAACCTATTGATGCAAGTAACTCTCAACGATAAAGGGAACTGTTATTAAGAACTCTAGTAAATATTGCTGGCCATCATGTATGTCTAATTCCACCTACACATTTAAAATTCACTTGTCATCTGGGCACTAAGACATCCTTCTGCACAAAGTGTGACCCATTGTATCTATTTCCACAATAAAAAACTTTAGAAAGTTAACAAAAGGGGGAAGCCAACACCCAGGATAAAGGATTTAATCCAGTAATTTATTCCACACTCATGATCGTTCTCTGTAATCAGAATACAAGTCATAAGAACAATCTATCAAATAATTTGCTGATAATCTTAAATAATGCAGCAAAGCATTACTTTTAATACTCTCTGTTCTAGATTAAGTTTAAAAACTCAAACAGCAATCTTCATTTTCAATAAAAAAAGTTCTGAATTTAAAAAAAGGACACTATATCAAGCTGTTTCATAATTTAAGTTTTTCCATTTATAAAAACACTTTGGAAGCTTGAGGCTTATACCTATTTCTCTACTCACCTGCCCCACCCTCTCCCAATCTCACGTTAGTATAGGGTTGCTGCAAGAATGCTAGGCTTTAGACATTAATCTCTCCTTTAATATAGTACTTTAAAATCTGAAAAATTCAAAAAAAGATTACATGTCATGTATTTTTTTCAAATAAAAAAGGAAAACTAAGTGAATCAATTTTAGGCATACCAACAGTGTCCCTTTGAGGTAGAATGCTAAAAGGACTTTTGATCAAATCACAGCCTAATTGAAACCTCTGCATCAGAAACTAACTTCTCATAAATTCTCTCTAAAGTTAACTGTAGAGAATATTAGGTTTAACATATTAACAAGAGCCTTCCAAGACAATATACAGTGGGCAAGAATGTTAATCCTAAAACTGCTGCCTTCATGTACACTGAAAGCATGTAATTCTCCTATGATAAGACATCCTAGATCCATTTTCAAAGTCTTTAGCATTCTATTGTGAAAAGCACAGCCATGCTAACTTCAGTACACAAACCATAATCCCACACCTACAAAACAAAAATAGAATTAGTGGCAGTTTATTGCCTTATACAAATTTAACCAACATGGCAACCATGCCAAAGGAATTAAAACATTTTCAGGACATATGTACAGACTGTACATCTCAAAAACAGTTAAACAATAAAATGCAAGAAAAATCTGTGCATCATGTATCGAACTCAACAATAGGGTGAAGACATCAATGCAATAAATGGGATTACAAAGGCACTTCCCTACACAAAAGAGGAAATGAAAAGGCAGCCTACAGGGAGCTTGAAGAGTGCGTAACTACTGCACAATCTCAACTTGGGAGGAAAAAAAAAAGCAGATTTAATCCAATGTTTATAGGATTCAATGTGATCCACTTTTACAAAAAAATCGTCACACAGTCTCCTCTTTGTCTTTATGTTGTTTTTCTTGGTTTTCTGTTTCTATGCTTTGGCTCCTTCGGCGATCACGTTTGTCAGACTGGTCCTTGCTATCACTGTGATCTCGTTTGTGGGAACGTTCTTTGCTTCTGCTACGCTTCCTAGATTTTTCTTTGCTGGGGCTATGTTCTCGTTTTCTTTTTTCAACACTGTCAGTTCTTCCTTGACTGCCACTTCTACTCCGTTTATTTGATTTTTCTTTACTTTCATTTTTGTGTTTACTTGATTTCTCTTTGCTCCTGCTTCTACTTCGTTTCCCTGCATTTCTACTTCTACTCCTACTTCTATGTTTTCTTTCTCTGCTTCTACTTCTACTATGTTTTCTCTCTTTCTTGGAATCTTTTTTGTCATCTCTATGTCGCCTATCATCTTTGTCTTCTTTATGTTTCTTTTCTTCTACCTCACCCCTACTTCTCCGTTCCTTGGACCGTTCTCGTGATCGCTCCTTTTCTCGGTCATTACCTCTTTCCTTATCATAGTCACGGTCTCGTCTTCTACCTCTCTCATTTTCTTTCTCTCTTTCCCGATCCCTGTCCCTTCTATCCCCTTTTCGATCACGACTTCGACTACGGCTTCTATGTCTTTCCCTACTCCTGCTATGCCTGCGTTCTGGCCCCCGATCAATACTCCGGGATCTTCGCCTTTCTTTCTCCCTTTCTTTGGCTTCACGCTCTAGTCGCTGGCGTTCTTTCTCTCTTTCTAATTCTCGATCAAAACTAGAAGACCCATGGCCTTCTCGATGATGGCTTCTACTTCTGGATCTTCTTGGGGACCTTCGTGGACTCAGCGATCTCCTTGGAGACCTAATATTCAGGAAAAAGGAGGAAGGGGAGAAAAAAACTTGAATAAAACATAAGTGTCACATATCAAGAATAATTTAAGCAAAATATTTGCCTGTTCTCATTTACAGATGCATTAATTTGTTGAATATGCCCTTAAGGGTAGAAAATGGGGAAAAGATAACAAATTATACATAAGAATGTGATACTAATTTCCAAGAACTTTTGTGTAAAGCACATTTTAAAGCTGTGGTAACTCAAGAATTACATTACCTTGAACGTCTGCGCTCAACATGTCTGTCTATTTCCTCAGTGCCTTCCTTTCCATCCTTCTTGATTTTCCTTGGCCTGGTTTTAATCTGTTGATCAATATTTTTCTGAACTGGAACCGGAATTCTTGGAAACAAAGTAGAAAACCACTCCAGTTTTGTGAGAAAAGATCGCAGCATTTCTCCAATGGTCATTACACAGCCTCCACCAGCCTTCACATCTAGGTCCTACAGAAACACAAAAGATATCCTGGCCGTCAAAAAATTTATCTCAATAAATATAACCAGAATACTATAAAAAATATAACCATCTTTGGAATCTCAAATACAAAAAAATTCTAACAGAAAAATTTCAATTTGTGTACCTTTCTAATCTGGTAATGAATGATACAGAGAAATATCTGGGCTCAGTGTGTGCATGCAGGTGAGAACAAACCCTGCAACCTCATGAACATAGAGAAGTGACCTCACTCAGTTAAAAAAAAATATGAAACACCCCCTTACATTACTAAACTATTCAGAACAATCAAATTTACATTCCACATACCTACTAACTATACATTTTATTTCTGTGGACATGTTTGCACACATCGTTCCTAGCAGTGTGACCTAGCTACATATGAACTACTTTAAACAGTTCCTGTCTAAAGATTATCTTTTAACAACTCTAATATAAAATGAAGCCCTAACAAAACTGGAAGCAATAGCAAACCAACTGCCATGAAGCAGTGAGGTTTCTAATTCAGAGTTATGTAGAAAATAAATAAATAAACAATAATTGGAAACGCATAATCCATGATGACCATTGTCTCTGAAAAGGGTCATTACCGCATGAAGGCCTTCTTGCTATGCCCTCTCACAGCTCAGGACATGTTAGTCAGCTATTGTCAGTCCCAAACCTACAGTGCAAGCACACAAGGAAAGTGAGATTTGTTATCTAAACAGGAAAACAAGAGCTAAAGGTAAAACTGCTTGCACTCACACACATTTAAGTGTTCAGATATACAGTATTTCCAAATATAATCGCTGCAGATATCTAAGGAAGAAAACAATAAGTTAGCTTAAATAGAAAGCCTCAGGTTTGTAAATACAATAAAAAACAGATTAAACAGAAGCATTCAGAAACAAACCTAATACCAATTATGAAGCGGGACATGCTTTTTAAATATAGAAAGGAGAAGCACCCCGGCCTGAAAAATCTTATCTAAAAAGAAAAACTTTAAAGATTGTGATTATCTAACACACTTTTGGCCTCTTCTGAGATGATAAACAGACTGTAAATAGTCTGTTTACAAAAAAAAAAGTGCAGAGAAAAATTCTCAGTGTCTACATGAGTGAGATTCTTTCAGTTGTGCACGTAGTAATAAAAACACAGCAGAAAGATTTCCATTAGGACTATCCTTTAATACAACCAATTCTTTGGATACATTTAAAATAGGACTACTAAAACACCACTCAGTTTACTTTATGAACCTTAAAACAAAGTATAATGGTGGGCATAGATATATGGACAACAGCGATCATTATTAAGATCCATTTGTGATCTTGGACTTTAATACATGTATGATTTAAATCTGACACAGCAATGTTTTCCAAAGTACTTTCTGAACATATGTAACAAGCTCAACCTTAAGCTTGAATGCTAAATTTCACATTAAAAAAAAAAAATTCTGAACTACTAAAGAGAGGTTTCTTTCTGTAAACATGTATATAGTACAGTAAGAGTTAGAAAGCTGGGACTGAAATCGTCTGATCACCTTGAACAAGTTATCTAAGCCCTCACCCTATTTAAATTCCACTCAGCTCTTCAATTCTGCACATCTATGCAAATGGAAATATTACTATTTGGAGGAAGTTATAGGGTAAAAAACTGAAAAGTCCCAGAATATTTTAAAAAAAGCAATAATTACTATTTCTATGTGCACGTCTTACCACCTTAATCTTGAACATGGCCAACTAAAAAGTCACTATCAACTGTACAAGTCAAGATCAAAATAATACACAGAACACAATTAGGAAGAGACAGCTTTTAATAGTTAGCAAAATAAATTTAAACAATATAAATGTGAAAACAAGACTTAAAAATTTAACCTAATACATATAAAATCCACCCTAATCTTAGTAACAGGACATTAATTCCAAAAGTATGTGAGTGAAATAAATTTAGGTACAGAAAATTCTGGAAGATGTTAAGTCATCAATAAATAAAAAAATATTTAAAAAGAATAATCAGAAGAAAATTAGTTATTACCCTTGTTGACATACCTCTTCATCATCAAGGAAGGATTCAAACCAGTCCCACAGATCTGTAGGGGGCTGTGTGTACCTAGAATTACAAAAGACCGATTAAGCTTAAGTCAATTAAAACAAGATATTTATTGAAAATGTAGAGAAACACATACTCACCTTATATACATAAATCCAAGGGCTCTAATATATGGAGAGTCTGTGTGTGTTATAAGACCCATCACTTGCTTGCGAGTTAATTTCAGAGTAAATAATTTGTATAACAGGCAAAAAGCTGTAGAAACAATTCCTCCTGTTCCAACACCTCGAACCTTCAAGGGAGAGAATTAAGAAAGTGGAAAGGAATTAACAGATACTTAGTACCAACTGATTAATCCTGTTAGATATTAACACAAGATACAATCCAGAACTGAGAACAGACCATTTAAAAAAAAAATGCTTTTCCAACCCCAGGGAACACTTGAATTTAGATTTTTAAAGAACATAAACTAATTGTAACTTGGTACATAATTGACAAATTTTTAGTTTTCCGAATATAAACTTAGTTATTAGACACAGAAAAACTGAAAAATGCACGTACTTCTACTTACCCCTCCGCACATCCCTGTTTGGCCAGCTGTTTTCCTGCTTCCTTTCTCCCATGGTTCAACATGCGTGACCTGAAAACAGAAAAGAGAAACACAACAAACATTCATGCTTTCAATTTTTACAAAATGATTCAAGTAAACCCCAATCCATAACAGAGCAGCTCTTCCAAAAGTTTGAAAGTTGGGCATTTTGACATGATGTATATATTTTGTTTACATACATTTTAAAGTATGTAAACCACCTCTGAAAACTGCTTAGATATTTAAACAGCACCAATAAAGCAACTAGGGTTTAACAAAACCTTAACAACTTTACACTGCAGAAATCACATTAAACTAGCTTTGTAGGAAGCAGATACAGGTGGAGACATGAAATTTCTAGTCTTATACACTTAAAAATTGATAACCAATTTTGTATTATGAATTACTTAAAAAACAAAAATCCTCATTTTAGAATGGATTTAAAGCCCCAACTTAAAGCAGAAAGTATTAACAAAGCTTAAGTATTTATTAAAAAAACTTTAAAATATCCTTAATATTTCAGTTTCATGGTGATGTAAAATTATACATTATAAGATAAAGAGAAAACTTGAAAATAATTTAAAAAATACAAAAAGGAAAAAACGAAGTATGCTAAAGTAGTAACAAATTACTTTTGATGCAAAATCATGAAACTTTATATTTACACATTTTTTTTAACCACGATCAAGCATTACGTTCATTTCTGACTAAAGATGAAATTACAAAGGCCATACCTACACATAGATTATTTTAGTTACTGTGTATTTTCAGCCGGATTATATGAACCAATTCAATTTTCCCCCAAAATATAAACTGGGTCAAAAACAGTAAGTATAACTTGCATTGTCAAGTATATTCAAAGATGCAGATCTTTGCTAAAGTGGGGCACCCTATAAAAACAATATATTTCACCTAAAAACAGCAAAGAAAGAATATTAGCTGTACAACAGATACAACAAAGGTGTTTTGGAAAAATAAGATCCATATTTGTTTCTTAACTTGAAACAAAACCAAATGGTTTTGAAATCCTGTTCTTTCACTACGTATTTCTAAATGTTACTTCCACCCATCCACTATTACATGAAATAGTCCCTGTCAGTGACTCAGACAGAAAAGCATGCATTTAAATGTAAACACTACACTATTTTGCTCAGTGGACTAAGCTGCACTGCTTTAGAGTTTTATTTCCTTCCCCTACCTTGCTGTGAAGAGATGTTTCAATTCCTTAAAGACTAACCAAAAGGGTGGATGCCATACAAAATTGACTTACAAAATAGGAAGCCTACATATTTCAACGATTATTTGATCTGGATAACAAAACCTGAGTCTTCGGTTTTATAACTAAATTTAAATAATTTGTAGTAGAATCTTAAAGTGTTTCAAGAACAGTATGTAAAATCTGAAAACAAGCTTTCCCCTCAGTCGTATTAACATTTGCCTAGGTTATTAAACAGAACCTGCCACAAAGAGCAGGAACCCGATCTTCAACTGACTGAAGTTTACGGCATAAATAAAGCTAAGGGTTAAATATTCACCACATTGTATCCACACTGAAAAAGGCCTTACCTTAAAAAAAAAAAAAAAAATCTAGTTCACAGTATTACAATTACTTACAATACTTAGTACACCGAAATTTCAGTTTACTTTATATACCCAAAGCTGAACTATATTCTCAAAATAAGATCTCCTATCAAAAGCAACTAGTATCTCAAAACCCTTTAATAAGCTATTCACTTATTAGGGGGAAAGGTGGACAAAACATAACGTAAAGGCGAATAAAGAAAATTTCCTCTCTTATCATCTCTACAGATATGTTCAGGTCAGGGAAGATATTTTATGTGGTCTGTTAAGTGGTTTTTAGGAGTCAATACAGACAAACTGTATTGTATTATGGCAGATGTCCTAGTTTTAAGTATTTAAAGACCGTTTAGACTCACTGATATTCTTTAATACTATAAATTTACCTCAGGAGGCCTGGAACATAATTTTAAAACTATATAATTTTTAGGAAAATGAAGAAAGCCTACCAAATTCGTGAGGAAAAGACCAAAACCAATGGTCAAAAAAAAAATTCTAAGTAGCCGTTCATTTAACCAGGGAAATGCATTTATGGCGATTGAGCATGATTAATAATGCATACCTCTACCTGCGACCCTGGGCTGCTCCGAGCCTCGCTGCAAGACTGAGTCAATCCTGCTAACGAAACAAGAACTGAGACAAGAGTGCAGTGAGGAGGCGCCAGGTGAGCTCCCCAGCACAGCCAAGCCAGCACCGACCCTGCCGCAGAAGCCCAGGGCCCAGATAATTCTAAATAAGCCCAACGCACAGGTGACAGAAACCACTCACTCCTGACCTCCTGCTGCTAAAATTTCCAGGCCTTCGGTACATCTATTCCACTTGCACCTCTCCACCCTCGACCCTCCCACCCCACCCGACACACACACTGACCATTTCCCTGTCCGGATCGGATAGTGAATACCAACAACACGAGGCCAACATTTAAGTCAATACACGAACTGGCCCGGGGTGAGCGGGAGAAGCACCAACAAGTTGGCGCTGAGCAGATCCAAGTCAAAAGAAAGAAATTTAAACTGTAAACTGGACAGGCTTCAATTACTCGTTTCTCCTCTCCCCCAGTCCTCCCTTTCCAACTCCCCCCAGGGGCGGGCAGGAGGTTGGGGGAAGAGAGAGATCAATGGCGGCGGGCTCTCCCGGCCCTAAAAATCTGAAAAGGAAATGAGAGGGCGGCCCCACTTTGACCCCTCCCTGGCGAACTACAGGCCACAGCTCCCCCTCCGTTCAACCTTCCCATATCTACAGATTATCAGACCTCGAGGGCCGCCTCCGCCCGTTTCCTCCATACCCCTTCCTCGGAACTTAACATCCTCCCCACCCCGCCAAGTCTAGACGCTTCGTACCTTAAAGTAGATCTCGTCCACCACCTCGTGGTAGGTCTTGAGCTCGTAGAGCTGCACTTTAAAGTAAGGCGACGACAGGATATTGGTCAAGATCATGGGGTTGAGGTTCATAGTCTTTTCGTTGCCCCACAGCGGCAGCACATTACCCTGCTTGCCCGAGACTGCCGGCTTGGTGGTGCCGCCGCTGCCGCACTGCTGCTGCTGCTGGGCTGCGGCCGCTGCCGCCTGGTGCTGCGGCTGCGAGTTGCCTGTCAGCGCGGGGCTGTTGTTAGCCATGTTGCGGCGGAAGGAAGGAGGGAGGGAGAAGGGAGGGGGAGGCGGCCAAGCTCGATCTCGCTCTTCGGGACAACGGTCCGGGACCCTACTCCATGGAACGCCGTCGAAGAGGGGGCCGCCTCGCTGTCCCCCAGCTGGAGGGAGGGCAAACGGGACGTAAGAGACGGACCCCTGGTCGAGAGCAGACGCCGAATCGTGGGCCTCGAGAACTCCAAGCAGACACTGAGCCGGCGGCCTGGTAGCGCGCTCTCTTCCGCCAACTGCCCCTGGGAGCAAGATGGCGGCCCCGGCGGATATGACGCAACACGCCCCAGAATTCCAAGCTTAGCCGACAGCCAATCAGAGACGCCCAGGTGGGCTGGAGCTCCCTCTTCCTAGTTCCTCGAGTTCCGCGCGCACTGCGGTCGCGGCGCTGGCCTCCACTGCCTAACTCTTTGGAGACTTACACTGGGGATTTGGCGGCCAGGGGCGGGGGTTATCTGTCTGATCTGTCTGTTGGATCGCGGCCCTGATTTCTCCTTTTCGGAAGCTTAGCGGGAAGGCGTTCGGAGGGCTCTGTGCTTGCAAATTCGTGACTCTTGATTCCTGTGGAGTCTCTTGGGTTCACAGTTTTCGTATTCTCTGTTAGGACCGCACTCATTCATGTGATACCTATGCAAAGTCGTCCGCCCGGCTGTAGTGTCTGACCGGAGGTCTTATTATTGGAGCCTAAATTTATTCAACAGTAAGGTCGGGATAACATTTTATTGGACTGTTAAAAAAAAAAGGCATTTTAGCATTAAAAGAACTGCTGTACCTGTGGCGCCGTTTTGTTACGTGGCTTCTATTTGAGTACTTCCATTCTGCCGATGCACTCTGATGGGGGGAGGAAGAGGTGGAAGAAGCTGGTGGGTGTGAAAATGAGTCAGAATCGGTCTCACCTTTTAAAAGCTACTGTTAACCTAGAGAAGATTTATGGTGTTTGGGAGCTAAGAGAAGGCTAAAAAAGGCAGTAAAGTTTGTGCAAGTATTCATGAACTGGGCAGTTTTATAAACAGAAAGCAGCCTGAGTATCCATAGAAGCAAGGAAGATCAAGCTCAGTAGCGGGTAGTCTGGCCGACCGAGGCCAGGAAATACACTTAGGGGAAGTAACGACTGGATAGGAATTAGACCACCTAAGTGCCTGGAATGCCAAGATGAAACATTAGGAATTTAATGTCATTTAAACTCAAGGGTTACAGCTATGACTCCAAAGTCACCTTCGATGGTAATATGCCTAATAGTCTCTGGTTCCAATTCATTCTTCAGAGTGTTGCCAGAGTCATCCTTAAAAGTGCCGCACTCCTTACTCAAAACCTTGGATGCTCAGCGTTATCCTAATTGCCAAAATCCAAGGACATTTTCCATTCTCCATCCTATTTGATTTCTCGCTGTGGCACTTTAATCATGTCGTCTTGCCTAGAAACTGTTGAAGTTGGAAGTTTGAAGGTGGAGTTTTTTTTTTTTAAGTATTTAAACCTTTTATTATGTATTGGAATATAGACTATTAACAGTGTTGTGTTCTTTTCAGGTGAACATTGAAGGGACTTAGCCATATGTATACGTGTATCTACTCTCCCCCGGACTCCCTTCCCATCCGGGCTGCCACAGAACATTGAGCAGAGTTCCTTGTGCTATACAGTAGGTCTTTAGTGGTTATCCATCTTAAATGTAGCAGTGTGTACATGTCCATGCCAAGCTCCCTAACTATTCCTTCCCCCTATTCTTACCTCCACCCCAAGCTTAAGTTGGTTCTCTGTGTGTCTGTTTCCTAAGTTCATTTGTATTTCTTTTTAGATTCCATATATAAGGGATGTCATATATTTTTCCTTCTCTGTCTGACTTAATTGAAGGTGGAGATCTTAAGTTCGGTGGCTTAGACACAGAAGAGGGGAAAAGGATAAGACAGAAACTTAGGGAAAATCCACACTTGGATGAAGTTGAACCAGTAGGAGACAGTGGTATGACAATGCAAGGAAAGATGAATAAGAAATGAATGATTAGAGTGATTAATATATAGAGCTGAACAGTACGTAAGTGATCATCCTGTCTAGTTCCTTTATTTATACTGGAGAACTAAAGCTTTCAGAAGTGGTTTTTAACTTCCTAGTAAATCTTGTTTTTCTATACATTAGTATAGACTTCCCAAGGAAAATAGATCCCAAATTTTAATGAATTACTGTTGAAAATAGCATGAAAAAAGTTTTGAACCCAGTTTTTCCTTTGTGTGTATTTTTTTTGCCTTGATAGTAAGTTTATTAGGTTTACTCAATGACATTAATTGCCAAATCCTACTAAATGCTTTCAGTTCAGTTCATGTTGTATTCGACTCTGCGACCCCATGAACCACAGCCGCCAGGCCTCCCTGTCCATCACCAACTCCCGGAGTTCACCCAAACTCATGTCCATCGAGTCGGTGATGCCATCCAACCATCTCATCCTCTGTCGTCCCCTTCTCCTCCTGCCCTCAATCTTTACCAGCATCAGGGTCTTTTCAAATGAGTCAGCTCTTCGCATCAGGTGGCCAAAGTATTGGAGTTTCAGCTTCAGCATCAGTCCTTCCAATGAACACCCAGGACTGATCTCTATGCTTAAACCTTTTAAAAATTCATTTACCTCTAGACTTTGAGTGAAAAGCTTAGTAGAGAGATTGAAGTTTGATGTCAAAGTTTCAGTGGCATCAAACTAAGTGTTACTATCAAATGAGGTATTAGGATAAAGTGCTTGACATATTCAATGAATCCCTAAAACAGCCTGAATGTATAACTATTATCGCCATTTAAAAAGTTATATTTAACTTAGGAATACTACACTGCACATAGATAAAGCTGGGAAGTTTGGTTTGCTTCATTTTGACACATGTACACTTATTGTCTTAGTCTTTGCAGGCTATAAAAAAAATCACAGACTGAGTAACTTATTAACAACAAAAATTTATTTTTTACAGTTCTGGAGTTCTGGAGAGTCCAAGGCCAAGGGAAAACTCTCTTCCTGTTTCATGGTTGGCCCCTTCTAGCTATGTAATCACAAGACTGAAGTGATGTGGAAGTTCTCTGAGATTTCTAAGAGCACCAACACCATTTGTGAGGGCTCCTCCCTCATGATTTAAGTACTTCTCAAAGGCTCCACCTCCTAATACCATCATTTATGGGGATTAGGGTTTCAAATTCTAACTTCAAGGGTTAGAACTTTGAGAGGGACCCTTAGGTCTACCTCAGTACCCATTAAACTATCATCACAATCAAGGTAACAATCATACATCATCCCAAAAGTTCTCTTGTGCCCTTTTGTAATCTATTCTCTCCCTCCATCTCCATCCCTAGCAATCACCTTCTGTCAATATAGATTAGTTTGCATTTTCTTGAATTATAATAAATAAATACAATCATAGACTAGGTTCCCTTTTTACCTGGCTTCTTTGACTGAATAATTTTGATATTCATCCTTGTTGCTTGTATCAGTTGTATGTGTGCTGCTTTTATTTTTTTACTGTGTAGTATTACATGGTATGGAATTACTACTATTTGTTTACCCAATTATCTGCTGGTGGACATGTGGATTTCTAATTTTTGTCTATTACAAATAAAGTCACTATGTACATTTGTGTACTAGTCTTTGTGTAGATGTTTTTGTTTCTCTTGGTGAAATACCTAGACATAAGACTGACTGAGTCATGTGATAGGTATATGTTTAACTTTTTAAGAAACAGACAAACTGTTTTGCAAGGTGACAGTACCATTTTACATTAACACCAGCAAAGTCTGAGAGTTCCAGTTGCCCCATAAACTCATCAACACTTAGTATAAGGATTTTTTTTTTTTAATTTTAGTCATTCTAAAGGGTGTGCAGTAGTATCTCACTGTGGTTTTAATTTACACTTCCCTTATGACTAATGATGTTGAACATCATTTCAGGTACTTACCAGCATTCATATACCTTCTGTTGTGAAGTAACTTCAAATCTTTTGCCCATTTATTTATGTGGTTGTTTGTCTTGTTGGGTTGGAAGATTTTCTTTTTACATGGTCTGGATAGAAATCCTTTGAAACACGTGTTGCAAGGATTTTCAGTCTGTTTCCTGCCTTTTAATTTTGCTAGTGGTGTCTTTCAAATACTTTTTTTATCTTGATGAAGTCCAAGTTACGAAATTTTTGTTTTGCTGATGATTTGTGCTCTTTTTGTTCTAAACACTTCCATCTTTAAGATTGAAATGATTCTGTTTTCTAAAAGTTTTATAATTTGAGAATTGATACTTAGGTTTATGATCCATTTTGAGTTAATTTTTGCCTATGGTGTAAGGTAGAGTTGATTTTCTTTCTTTTTTTTCCCCATGTGGCTATTTAATTGATCCAGCACCATTTGTTGAAAAGACTTATTTCCCTGTTGAATTGCTTTAGCATTTCTGTCAAAAATCAACTGACCCATCATGTATGAATCTACTTCTACTTTGTTCCATTGGTTTTTATCTTTTCGCCGATACCAAACTACCTTGATTACTGCAGCTTTATAGTAGGTTTTGAAATCAAGTAGGTTAGGTCTTTCAACTTCATTCTTTCTTTTAAAAATTGCTTTGGTTACTCTAGGGCCTTTGTGTTTCCATCAATTACTTAAAAAAAAAAGCCTGGCATGTGGAGGAAGGTGCTTGATAAACATGTATCATTTATGAATAAGAATTAAAATGCCATATGTAACTAAAATAACATAAATAAAATGTTCTCTAATATTTTGAAGATTTTATTGTTCAAAACAAACTACAAAAACATCAACCACAATTCTAAAGTAACAAAAGAAGCCATTGACTAAAGTACCCAAGAATAAGAATCTTATTCTATCCCTGTTTCCTTGGTTATGACTTCAAAATACTGAATCAGATGAGGTATGAATTGAGATTTAAGAATTATTAGGTTTGGGGAAAAATGGATACATGTATATGTACGGCTGAGCCCCTTTGCAGTTCACCTGAAACTACCACAACATTGTTA